ACGGGATGTGAAGGGGAGGAGATCCCGAGTGAACCAGAAAACGTCCAACGCTACTCAGACCAGGATGCTCAGAAGTTCACCGTAGAAGACTTGGAGAATCCCAATATTGTTGGAAGGCTTACCCAAGAGCAGCGGAAGCAGATCATCAAGGATGCTCGAGCAAAAAAGAAGACCACGGATGGTTAGGGTTGCTGGCAGTCTATTTGTTTTTAACGCATTTTAGTCATAGATCCATACTAAGGAATGTTTCCGTATGAACCCGCCATCCTCAAGTATTGCCGATGCACCGGACAAAACGAAGTCTAAGGGAGCAGTACCCGGCGAGGATAGTAAGAAGGAGCTGTCGCCATTAGAAGTATTGCGCCAAGCTGCCAAAAATTCTGAGGGGAAAAAGCCCACTGACGCCAAGCCTTCACCGAAACGGAGTGCCTTTTCACGTGAAGCAATGCAGTGGACAAGACGTCTTCATCTTTACACCGGTCTATTTCTCCTGCCGTGGGTTTTCCTATACGGAGTGACCGGCGTGCTCTTCAATCATCCGAATTGGTTCTCGGATACATTCCAGATGTCTTTCTCCCAGGATGCCGTTGAAGGGACATCCTTAGGGCAAATGATTCCTGCTGCCGACATCGCCAATTTAGTTGTCGCCGAATTGAATGAAACGAGTGACAGCCAATATACCTTGCTCGATCCCGAAAAGATCTCCTACGGCCGAACGGGCTTGAACGCAGCGTTCGTTGGTGCAGATCAAAAAGACTACCAGGTGTTTCTGAACGAAACCGCGGATGGCGGAACGATTCGTGAACCTCGTCGACGCAAAGGCGGAGGTGGTGGCGGTAACGGCGGTGGAGGCAACAGCAAAGAGGCAAAGGGAGAACACCAACCAAATTCCAAGCGGAATCAGGGAGATTCAAAAAATGAAAATAGTGACGCTGACAAACCAAAGGGAAACAAAGGTGAATTGAAAACTGGTGAACAGCGGAGTCCATCGCGACGAGGGAGTCGAGCCAATGTGGCCCCATTCGCAATTGATTCTGGCCTGGAAGTCGCTGACTCGCCAATCACGCTCTTCGAAGAGGCATTGCCGACGATTCTAGCTCGAAGCGGATTTGAAGGGGCGTCCATTTCAGCGGTATCCCTGGAACCGCTATCATTCAAAATCAAAGACGATAAAAAAACCTGGAACGTTCAATACGACGTTGCAACAGGATCAGTTTCAGGAACGGAAGATAAGCCTGAGGAAGGCGAAGCACAGTTGTCGAGTATGTCGTTTCGGCGATACCTCCTTCAACTTCACAAAGCACGCGGATACCCAGGCGAGGAAGTCAACGTTCGATCGATTTGGGCAGTCTTCGTCGATGCAATGTCCTTCACGATGTGCTTCTGGGGAATCTCAGGCGTGGTCATGTGGTGGCAAATCAAGCGTACTCGTCCAATCGGAACTGCCCTGCTTGGCATAAGCGTCGCATTGGCCGGCATAATCGGTTACGTCATGTGGGTAGAGATGATTTCCTAAACACTGACGCACTCCTGACAAAATTTGCAACATCTCAATCTGCCATGGAAATCTATACCCATGAATCGTCTATTCGCAATCATCGTACTCGTCGCGTTTGCCTTTGTGCCAACTCCTTCTTTTGCCCATTCACTTTGGGTCTTGGTGCCTGACGGCGAGGACAACGTCGTTAAATTGTGGTACAGCGATAGCCCCGAACCTGGCCGCGTAAGCATGATTCATCGAATCCTTGAAGCGAAGGTCTACGCGGTAGGTCCAGACTCGGCTCCGGTGGCAATACCGATGAAAAAAATTGAACTGGACGAGGAGACGGCCGAGATGTCGGCTAACCTAACAAATCCGGCGAAGATGCTGGCAACGGTATGCGACATTGGCGTGAAAGAGTCACGACGACGAAAACCAGCGTCAGGAAGTGGAGTAAGCCAGTCAGCTCAAGCGAAAGAAAGTTCCTCTCGGGAACACAAAGAAGAACCGCCCACACGTGAATGGTATTTCTGCAAATACATGACATCAAATGCCATTAAAAACAAAGACGCTGATAAGGCGTTCGAGCATCTTTCCTATCGCTTAGAACTTATCCCACGATTAGAAGGAGGCACGCTTGTTATTGCCGCTTATCTTGATGGAGAGCCAGCCAAGCAGCTAAGTGTTTCCATTACAGATGTCAAAGGCGAACGGCAGCGTTTGTCAACTGACGAAAACGGCATTGCAAAGTTAGATGGAGTTTCCAAAGGCCGTTACGCGATCAGAAGTAAAACCGTACTGGACGAAGCCGGGAAAGTTAACGGAAAAGAGTATGCCAAGACGGCCCTCGTTAGCAGTCTTATTCTGGATATTGAGTAGGCTCGTTAAGGAAACTTGGCTTTGCAAATGGGCAATTCCAGGTCGTTTTTGGGGCGGTAAACTAGATAACTGTCCAAGATACGAGTTCTGTTGGGAAGTCGTGTCTTTCGCTTCAATTAGGTTGTGACGTAAGCTCGTCTGACTTTGCGAGATCTGGATCCGGCCAACTCTTTAGGTCGGATCCGTTGTGGGTTATCTAAATAGCTAACGTGAGTAGCCTGTAGAGTTAGCGAACTT